CATGAGCTTTTAAACCCCTTCATTCACATCCGTGCATATTTAAATTGTTTCCAATAATACGTTTTCACAAAAAAAAAAAAAAAGAATTATAAGTTGAAATAAACTCCATAATGTTGAACTATGTAATTATATGTTATATAGGGGATTATCAGATGCACCTATATCCTTTTTTACTCCTAATTGTACTCCTGGATCTCATTTTCTGCATAAACTATATTTTAGATGACTTATGTCATTTTATAGTGTAGACAAGTAGTGACTATAATCTTTTAGATCATTAGCTAGCACTTAATTTTTCAAATATTTTATTTTCAAAATTTAAGTGAGTCATCAATAATTTACACATTCTATGTTACTAATTTTTTATGTTAAACTTGACATAAAAAGTTTAGCTAAAACCAATAGTTCATTTTAATCATTAATAATACACAATTATCAAAATTAAAAAAATCAAATCTTGACAGTTAAATAAATCAAATCCTTCTTAGTACCATACTAACTTCTAAATCTTAATATTGAATGTAGGTAAATACTTGAACGATGTACTACTTTGGCAACTAATAAAATATATGGCCTGAAAAACTAACAAAGTGAAAGTTGAGGACCATTTTACACTTTTGAGTAAAAAATTGGAGACCAAAAACGCCATTATTCTTATACGATTAAAAGAAAACAAATGTCGTAGATGCTAAAGAAAAGAACTAATGAGTAAAGAGTTTAAAGTTGTTGGCTGGATGAGGTTATTGTCATATTTTGAATGGTTAATGTTATATTTTTTAATATTATTATTTATTATATTTTTATATTATATATTTTTTTAAAATTTTAAATTTTTTTATTTTTTAATAAATTAAAAAATATAATAATTAATTAAAATAAAAAATATGATATTAAGTAATTAAAAGTATGATAATAATATCACCTTATATATTGGCTACCTAAAAACGGTTCAGTCCCTCTTGCATTGATTAACTGAGCTTATTGACTGGTCCCTCTCTAACTGGGTTGTTGACATATTTGTACATATCAGAAGCCCCATTAAATTTCTTCACAACTAGTAACCACAAAAACATCTTATCTTACCAGCACTGTAAGAAGTTCGCAAAGCTGTGAACAAAATCGGAATGCGATTAGGATTCCAAGTGTGGACCCGGAAAGTGACGGGGAAAAGACTTGAATAGCTGTAAACCACAGGTGTTGTTCTACCAACCTATCATTTTATTAAGATGATTTTAAAATGATTTAATTTAATTAATGTTTTATTTATTTGTAATATTTTTTAAATAATTAATTATAATATTTAAAAATATTAATTTATAAAATTTAATTTAATTTGTTAAATAATATTTTATATTTATTTTTAATAAATTTAATTTTACTTTTTAAATTTTAAATA